CTCTCTTGGCTTTCTTCCTGTGCAGTCTCAAGCTTTGGCAATTAAAAAGGAGAACCTAGACTGTCTTGGTCCTAAAAACATAAGGCTGGGAAAAAAGGAGCTGGTGAGAGAATGACAGGGAGACCAGAGGATGTTAGGGAGAGAAGACTGGTGCCACTCAAAGGACTTTAACCTTTGCGTTCTCCTCCTTGACAGGAGCTGGGCATCCAAGAAGAAGTGTGGTTTGTTTCTGGTGTCATCGTAGGTGGCCACCTTTGGCTTTTGGGGTATTTGTTTTCTTACTTGTTTGTTTGTTTATGTGGTGTCGGTATGGGAGAGAAGGAAAGCTGGCCCTGCATCACCTGCGCTTTCTCCTGTTCTCTATACCCCGCTCCCTGTCTCTTCTAGCTTTCAGCCCTGACTTTGGTCTACTCCAATTGTAGGAAGACCTGTCTAGTCACTGATAATGGGGATGGGACAAGGTGGCTTAGGAATGAAAGGCCACCCTGTGGCCAGTCCCGTGAGAGAGAGAAGCACTGGATACAGGGAGCTCTTTTCCCCTTCTCTCACAGGATCCCAAAGGCAGAGATGGAGGCCAGCTGACCCAGGGGAGGTGGTTAGTTGCAGAAGGGAGAAGTGATGTCTGTTCATGGCTGACAGGGTGAGAAAGGACAGGGGTGTGGGTTGTGGTGGCTGGGTACGTGGGAAGCTTAAAGCACTGTGAGTGCATGTGTGTGCCAGGGTGTGAGCATCGGGAGGGGTTCCTGCTGGAAGTGTCTGCGGAGATGTCATCGCCTCTGTCTTAGCAGATAGCTTGTGTGTGCGCGCGCATACGTGTCTGCGTGCACAGCACCCTCACACGCTCCTGCTTTTGCCTCTCAAGGAGACCATTTGCTGACAGCTGGTCATTTACCACCTCTGTCACCTTGTTCTCACCTCCCTGACTCCACAGGGCTCTTAGGCAAGTGTGCAAACTGTGGGTTCAAAGACAATTGGGCCTGAAGAATTCTCAAGCTGGCCTCTCAACAGGAGAAAAAAAACACTCTCTTGGGGAGGAGAGAGGTATCCTAGGGATAAAATCTTTTGATTATGTCTCCATGCCCTCTAATGTCATCTGCCCATGTGGAGATAAAAATATATATAAGTTTTTTTCATGGCTTCATCATATTTTAATGCCAATTCTTATTTTTATTTGTCACTATTTCATAGACAATGCAAATACCCTATAGCAAAAGAATAAGGTATGATAATGTCTCTAATATGATGCACTTATAAGACAGAATAAATACCTGAACTCACCGTCCTCCAAATGCAGCCTTTCATCTTATTGTTAAGGAAATTAATCTAATAATTAAAATAAAGAAAAAAATATGCTTTTTATTTAATTACCTGATTACTTTCAGAGAGTGAGTTAACGTCAATGTGTATTTTGGGGCCCAAATTATAAATATCTGTCCAAAAGCTGCACCTGAGGTCATCATTTAGGCTATGTTCTTCTGTCTGCGGGCCTCAGGCGCACAGACAATGGTGGGCATAAGGATCAGAGGGACAGGAGTGGGGGTGGGCACCGGCAAAGAATGCAGTCTGCTGGGCGGAGACATTTATAGACTCAGATCAGCACCACGAATTTGGTGTGCTCTCCTCATAGTGCCTCAAAATTTCCTTGGAAGGACTTGGGATGGGATCGGCAAGCCATCACTCTGTAGAATACTACAGTGGATTGTGCTGTATGCTGGAAGCAGAAGGAGAAAGGGCTCCAAATGAGGCTTTTCTAGGGAGATTGAGGCTGGTGGGCCAAGCACAAGCCTAATATACTCATTTTGCTGCTTATAGGTCTGCTGTATCCAATTCTAGGTAGTAGAAGGATCTCTTCTGGTCTAAGGAGCTGCCTAATAGTCACTAACACACAACACACGATAGACACAACCTCCCCGCTTCCTCTCACACACACACCCATCACAGATCGCACAGGACACACATTTTCTCAGTAGCCTCCCTCTCCACTCACAATTCACCTAGTTTTCATGATGACGAACTCAGACTTGCAGAAACACACTTTGTCTTAGGCATGTGTTAGATACCATAGATTTGAATATATATGAAATTGCCTCTGCCTTTAAGGGCTTGACTCATTTGCCACCTGAAGTAGTTTCTTTTTGGGAACTGAAGCAACATGGTATAATATACAAACCAATCCTGTGAACATGATGGTGGGCAGTTTTCAGCTTCTTTCATGCCTTATCACCCCGTCTCCATTGAAATAAAGACAGATGCCCTGCTCACCTTCTTCCTGAGCAGAAGTGGTGAGAGAGAGGTTGTCAGCTCCACCCAGACAAAACCAGTTACTTCATCAGGAATCTTGACAGAGAAGAGGATTTCGTGCAGATAGTACCAGGACAATTTAGATTAATATCCATTTTCTTTGGTGGGGACCTCCTTAAATTTGGACACTCCGCTTAGGCTAAGGTACCTGTGTAGAACCCAAAGCCATGGTAAGAGGCAGAGGGCTCTAGCTCTGTATTGAGCTACTTGGGAAAAGTTAGATATGTACCCATTTCTCTCCTGACCTTGGTTTTGAGGAAGTCCAGTTTAGTCTACTTGGGCCAATAGGTGTGGGAATGGGGGTGGGTCTCTGCTGGACAAGGAGACCTTTCCATCCTCCCCAACAAAAATAGAGCAATGGGTGAAAGAGAAAGTGGTTCATGCTGATCCCACCTGCCTCTTGCTGCACTGTCTGAATGGCACAAGCCAAGGTATGAGGCTGTGGAAATAAGGCTGGGCCCCACAGAGGGCAGGAGAATTGGTTGGGATTTGGTGATAGAGAAGAAAGGGGACAATGTCAGCTAGGAGGACAGCCAGCTCTTTCCCACAAGCTGGCCCCAGCCTTCCAGGCACTGGGTTAGGGGAGGAAGCAGCGGGCAGAAAGATTCACTTAAGCTGTTTTTAAGGGATTTTGTGGGAAGGTAAATGGGGAAATCTTCATAGGGGAAGTTGTTGGTATGTCTGGAGAAGTGTAGACCCTATTTAGGATTGCTGGAATGTCTAGAGATTATTTGGTATCCTATAAAGGGTTGTGAGGTGGTGTACTGAGAAATATTTGAGGATGTTTACAGGCACAAAGAGGAAAGGCAGAGGGGCTCATCGTTCCTCTGAGGCCTGGTATGGGGGATGCACTTACAGAATGCATTTAGCTGCATCCCAGTAGGGTAGATGTACCTGTGATAGTGTTTGGGGGGAAAGTTTCTGCTTTTCTATAACAGTGCTGGAGCAACAGGGGCCTCAGTACTCCTCCGGTATTCCAGTCTGAGCTGTAAGTGGTTGGGCAGGGGGACAAGAAGAAACAAAGTAAGGGGTAGACACTCATCTCTTTCTTTCCCTCCTCACCATTGGCCGCTGTACTCCCAGTTCTGGGAGTAACGGCCCTGAGAGCTGTGGAGGCTCACACTGGGGAAAAGCTTGCCAAGAGCAGCCCTGAGAATGTCCTAGACTGGGGACTCAGGCAGCCTGCTTCAGCTCCTTGCTGCTATTCTGGTAGGAAACACACGGTCCCTGGACTTTCCCCTATTTTGAAGTGTCCTCCACCTCACAATCATGCAGCAATTATTCAGACATTCTCCAATCTTTGAGGGATGCACCAAATGAAACCCAGTGGCCATTGGTTTGTATCTAACCAAGGCAAATGGCATTTAGGCTGGGCTTTGTCCTAGACTGTGCAGAGATGGGACTCGGGCAGATAAAACAATCTGGCCAGACCTGATGGCCAAACCAGGGACACGCTGGAGTGCACCCCTGTTGGTATAGTGCTCGAAGAGCCCTGGTTATGGGAACAGTCCATATTAAGCAGACAGACAGACTCCAGGTTTCTAAACCATAAGGGTTTTGTTGTTGTTGTTGTTGTTGTTTGTTTTTTAGAAAAGGGGCCAAGAAGTAGAGTCGTGGAGGGACAAGGGATTTGAACTGCTTCCTGGGGGGCACAGCAGCTCTGCTAGGTGATTGCCCCTGGCTGTCAGAGCTCTGCCAGGCCGCCAGGCCCTGAGAATCCGAATCCTGCCTGCACCGGCTTTGGCCACCCTGGGTTGGGACGCGGCTTTTCTCGGCTCTAATTCTCCTGGCCAGGTCGGGACAGCCAAGAACCTGAAACTTTGCTGGACAGTCTTTTTCCATTACCCCAGCTCTCCAGACGCGCGGAGACGGAACAGGGCTGGGGGCCCAGGGTTGATGGAGGAAGCCCTACGGAATAGGGGAAGGAAAGGAAGCCGCTAAAGAGGGCCCCCATGGATGAGTAGAAACCTGCGCGTGTTGCCTGGGCTAATGCCAGCTGGGATTCTCCTTCAGCCTCCCCCACCTGGAGCTCTGGGGCTGTGAATGGTTCGCGAGAGATCCAGTTTCTGCACGACAAAAAAAGGAGGCCCAGCTTCTTTCAGACTCCACGTCTCCCAGTAGGAGTCCCAAACTTCCAGAATCTTTCCCTCACTGTTTTGGGTTGAAAACCAGCAAGAAATGTTCCCTCCCACCCTAAAAGATTAGGATCACAGTCTGGGAGGAATCAGAACCCGAGAAGCACAAAGAATATCCTAATGACACGAGGCAGGTAGGGATAGTCTCCAATCCTTTAGTTGTCTTTTCCATCTCTGAGCCCTGATCCTGGTGCAATCAATATACCTAGGGCCAAAATAGAAAACGTAGGACCTACAAAAAGAGAGGTTGGGGATCAAAGCCACAAATGGTAATGGACTGGATGAAGATGGCAGGCGGGTGTGGGGGATGAGTGAGGCGGCAAGAGGCTGGGAATCAGCACACACAGTAGTCCTTCCCCACCCCGCCCCCCACCCATTCTCCGGGGGTGGGGTGCCCCAATTGCGCGCTTCAGCTCAAACGGGGAAGAGGAGGGGCGGAGCCAGAGGGGCAACAAGGTGGTGACGTCAGACTCGGCGAAGCCAATCAGAGGGTGGCCTAGGGAGGGAGCATGAAAGGATGAATGAAAAGTCCGGAGCCGGAGCTAGCCGGGGCCAGAGCGGCGGCAGAGGCTGAGGAGTGAGCTGGGGAGGTGAGACCCCCGCTCTCCCCTGCTCGCTGCTGCACAGCAGAGGCTGCGATTCGGGTGGGCGCCTCCGCCCTGGCCCTGCTGAGCCCTGGCACCCAGGACTCAGGGCCATGGAGCTCCGCGGGCGGGAAGGGCCCGAGAGGACAGCGTCTGAGAGCACGGATAGGCGCCTTGGGCTCGATGTAAGTGGCCTGGCCGGCTTAAGGCCCGAGGGGGCCGAGCGCCTCGGAATCCGGAGCGCCTGTGCGTCCGCCACGAGAGGCTGGCCGAGCCCCACCTCTTCCCGGGGTTCCCGGGACCTGCTGGACGATTCTCGTTCCTGATCGGAACTGTCGCCAACCCCTAGAGCACCTCTCGCCTGGAACCCCCGGCCATTTTCACTGCCCCGGGTGATTTTTGGAGCCGTATTTCTCTGGGGCGCCCTGCAGGGCCTGGGACTCGGCTCGCCTGCCCCGCCCGCCCTCCCTCCACTTTCCTCCCCGCACTCCATCTCTCGGGACCTGTCCCGAATCCCTTCTCGGGCAGGGTCCTCGCCCCTCGTTCCCTCCTGGAGAATCTTGTTTGGAAGTCTCCGGGCTGCCTTCCACCCCACCCCCGCCGGCTTCCCTCTCGCTGGGTGGCCGGGATTTCCCTGTCTCCTCCTGGGGTGCCTGCGGGGTTTTACCCCCGGGTTTCGCTGCCCGCTCCCTCGTAGTCGGCGGCGGGACCCAGCCCCTTCCGCTGCACGAACTCCGCTCCGCCTCCACCGCCTTCGCGAGTTGGGGGACTCGCTGGGGTCGGCCCCGCACCTCCCGCTAAGACCCCCTCGCAGAAAGGCTCGGCTGCCGGCGCGCCCTGGACCTTCCAGAGGGGGCGGGGGAGACCCGGTGATGCGGGGAGGCCTCACCCCCGCGCCGGCGGTCTCCCCGGGGGCTCGAAAGCCCGCGAGTCCCTGCTCCGCGGGACCGGCGGAGCTCCGGCTTCTGGTTCGAATGGGGAGCGGGAAACGCGGCGTTGGAAGCTTTGGGGGCCGGGGCGGTCCCCGGGCCTCGACGCCACCGGCCGTCACGCCCTTGTCGGTCTCTGTCGTGTCTGCATCCCCGTACCTCTGAGTCTTTCAGCCCCCGACTCCGTTTTTCTCTTCGCCCCCAACCTCCGTCCTTGCACCCTCACCGGCGGGCGACCCGGCGGCGGCGGCGGCGGCGGCGGCGCTGGCGGCGGCGGCCGAGAGGCGGCGTGGAAGAGGCGGCGGCGGCGGCCAGGAGGCGGGGTTGGTTGTTATCTTTGGTTATCTAGCTGTATGAGTGGTGTGGAGTCTTCATAAAGCTAGATAACCGAAAGTAAAAATAACCCCATACACTGCGCAGAGGGGCCCCGGGAAAGCGGTCGCAGGGGCGGGGGCGGCCTGAGCGAGCGCCGAGAGCCGCGGGGACCCACGCGCTGGAGGAGGCGGCAAGAGGACCCGGCGGCCCGCGAGCCGCGAGACCACACCGGTCCGGGCGACTGCCCGCCCTCCGCGCGGGTCGGAGTCGCTGTCCCATTTCCCGTTGTTAGCCAGGTGCAGTGACTTACCGCGCTGAGTTGGGAATCCAAAAAGGGGTCGGTGGCTCCCTCTCGGTCTGGGGCCTTTCCTGGCAGTCTGTGGATTGCGTCGCTGCTGGGGAAGCTGCTCCAAGGGAGGATCTGTTGACACCTAGTTGCGGGGTTACTCCGGACAGCACCGGGGCTCCTTGCCCAGGCCTCTCCCCTGGGCTGCGGTACAGCTTCTTGCAGGCAGGCGGTCCACGGCTATTGCAGCGGCGGGACCTGAGAGCGCTGCGAGGAGGTGACCTGAGAACCTTTGCTTTTGTGGCTCTCTGAGGCCATGTAGGTCTACCCAGCCTGGATGTGAGCTGAGTGGCAAAGTGAAGACAGGGCTAGAGGTACTTACTCGTTCAGGGTTTGCTCAGAGGGAGGACAGGGTGGCTGGAAAACATTTTTGCGGAGCCTGGATTCTGGGGCAAGGAGTGCAGAGTAGTTCCCTTGTTTTCGTATTCATTCCTCCTTGCAACCCAGGACCTGAGCCCTGCTGCCTTGAAAAGCTTCTCATGCCAGCTTTGTCTTCAATGACCAAAGGGGTTGAGTTGGGGTCTTTCAGGACACCCTACCTTCCCACTCTATTCTCCCTTTCTCTCCCTCTCTCATCTCCAAGAGCAAATGGCCTTAGAGGGCCCCAAACAAAGGAACTTGTAGCTTAGTATTTATGCTGCCCCCAAAAAGAAAAGAATTAGAGATTAAACAGGGCCATTCCTAAAAGAATCCATTTATCTGGCCTGACCTAAATATTTTAAGCAAAAGAGTTTAGGTGCAGTCAAGAGGAACATGGTCTACAGTCACTTGGTAAAATAAAAGTAAATGTGACCAAAGTAGAAGTCCACTCTGTGTTTTTTACCTCTCCTCGTCCCCACCCCATGCCCCTGGGCATCCCAGGACACAAGGCAGAGCAGTAGGGAGGAAAAAGAGGACAGGAGAACTGGAAAAAGTGACTTCATACAGACTCCAGTTTCCAGTGTAAATGTAAAAATCCCCCCCGCCCAGGAACTGACTTTATAGCTAAAAGATTATGATTCAATTATATATTATGTGGGAGAAATACTGGGGAATCCAAACTAAAACAATTGTTCTTCAGAGAGCCTAGAATACATATGTTTTCTTCCTTCAGAGGTGTAGAGGAAGGAGAAATTAAGGGCCTCTTGCTTTTTCAGCTGTTTGGAATTTTGGAGGTCTTGTTTTTTGAGGGAAGCAGTTGGAGGCAGGATTAGGGAGAAAGGGAGCATGTTTGGGGCAAGACTAGTAATCCTGAACACCACACCATACTTTCAGGTAAGAGTGAGCTGCCTACTTACCTGTCCTTGATCCTCCCAACACCGTGAGATAGCTGTTTTTTAACCCCATTTCACAGATGAGGAACCACAGACTCAAATGAGTTGCTATGTAATTTATTAGTTTAAAATTCAATGCTGTTTCCACTGCTTTCACTTGCCTGTAAGAGGACTGGAGAGGGAGCGGTGAGGAGACTGAAATGGGGATGAGCTGAGAAGGACGAGGAGGCGAGTCAGTGCCTCAGGGATGAAGGAGGGGCCACGCAGATGCGAGGCCTGGTTGGTGACCGTGGGCTGAAGGGAGTTGGCATCTGATGAGAAGTGCCAAGAAAAATAAGCCTTTTTTTCCCTTAAATTTCTCATGTCTCTGGTTGGAAATATGGACTCAGGATTGGCTGAGGCTCATCCACATGAAACTGAGAATCTGTATAATTAAGCACAATGGGTTTATGTTATGATCACTGTATCCCATTAGCACATTTGACCACAGAACCTCCAAAAGAGAAGAGATGGCCCAGGGGAACTGGCAGGTTGAGGGTTTACATTCTACAAAACCAGGGCTCCAGTGGCAAGGGGGAATAAAGGCCAGGAAGGGGTGGGGGTGAGGGTTTGTGTCTGCCTTGTGTGTGCCTGCAGGTGTATGGATGGGGCTGCCAGAATGGTGGGTGACTATGCTTGGGAGCTGTGTGTGGCTGCACGTGAATGTGGGACGCTCGGTGGTACGTGGTTTGGATGCGTGTGGTCCACGGTGGGCAGGAAGCTCTGCTGCGAGATAAGGGTGCCTGGCTATCCATGCAGGTGTAAATCCACTAGGGAACAGACACTCTGGGATTGGGTGGGGGGATTAACCAAACGTAGACATCACAATGACCCCACAGAGTCCTGCCTTCTGCCTCCCCCAACCTTTATCCAAAAGAGCACCTCTTCCAGTTAAACTTGAGATGAGAACTGATAGAACGGGGTGCAAGCAAGCTGGTTTCAAACGGGTCTCACCAGTTACCAGTTAGGAAATTTCTTCCTTTGTATCATTTCTGTCTGGGTCCAAGAATTTTTAGTTCTATTCCTCAGATCTTGCGATATCCATCTATTCCTACTGGAAACCAAATTCTAAGCTGGGTTTGTTTTTTTAAATATTTTATTTATTTTTAGAGGGAGAAAGTAAGGGAGAGGAACATCGATGTGCAAGAGATACATTAATTTGTTGCCTCTCGCACACCCCCAACTGGGGACCTGGCTTGCAACCCAGGCATCTGCCCTGACTGGGAATCAAACCGGCCACCCTCCCATTCACAAGCCAGTACTCAATCCACTGAGCCACACCTGCCAGGGCTAAGCTGGTTTCTTTATCTATTTCTGTCCTCAGCCCTTCGTCCCAAAACCCTTTATTGAATTCTGAGTCCAGGAGTTCAAAGGTAATTTCTTCCTAAGTATCTGACTCAAGTTTTTCATTATCACTCATACGCTCATCCTGAGACAAATTTTTCCTAATTCTAGGCATTGAAAGTCTTGTTGAAATGTTCTTCCACAATCATCACAATCAGCAAGCCTGGACGGACAGAAATAGAAAGAGCAAATGTGACTGACCCTAGGTCTGTCTTCTGGGGCCATAACTTAGGCAGATCTCGGAACCTCAGCCTGGATGTTTATACATACTTGGGTTGATACATGGAACACAAAAAGAATTCTATATGGGAGACCCTATAATATGCTATAATACCCATGGGTGGAGAGTACTTCTTAGATTGTAGAACCATTAAAGGCTACAGTTTGGAACGAGTCTTTGAAAGCATGTAATTGATCTCAGAATGCAAAAAGGACATCTCTGGCATATTCTTGACTGAGAAGCTCGAAGCATTTAAATTTGAGGAAGTTTCTCCTGCTTTTATAGCTTTGGGAGTCAAGGAAAGATTCCTGGGACCTGGATAGGCAGTGTCTAAAGCCTGGGGAGAGGACAAACAGTCCTTGGGAAACCTGTTAAGGGAAGAGGCTGGAGTTCATATGGCAGAATGGCCACTGTGTTTTTCTCCTTAATGGATCTTACCATTTGTTGTAAGAGAGCTTATGATTGGTAAACTGACTTATGTAGATAGAGAGATAAGGCGTGTGCAAATGACAATTCCAAGTTTATTCCATTAAGCTTCTACAGTTACTAAAAACACAGTTTATTAAATTAAACCTAAGACCAGTTAGGTAGTAGATATAATTAACAAACCAAACAAAGACCTGCCCATCAGCATGCAGACTTTTCTTCCATGCAGAGTGACTTGACAAAGGGGTGTTTTCTCTCCTCTTTACTCCCAGCCCCTACCTCTCCAACCCCCAACTGGATTCCCAGGATCGGT